TAAGATGATATAAATATGGATTTCATTCAAATAGCTAACAAGAAATTCAAACTATTATATTCAGTCAGTCAGTCAGCTACAATATAGGACCAGGCACATATATGCATCAGTTCAAGTTGCCATACCTCATTAGCACAACAAGATAAATACCGAATTCATAACAGTAGCTAATTCAATTATGGTATTATATAAAAGAAAGATTGCATATAAGGATATAGTACAGGAGGAAAGAATTAGTTCGTAGAAAGAAAGGTATGAATCGATTTTAATCTCATAGTTTAAAGGAAGACAAAGAGTGTATACACCTACACCATTGTGATCGATTCTGAGCCATGTCACTCAGAGTCTCTGTTGGGATATTCAGGAAAATATCCCAAGAATTATCCTGTTAAGCCTAATGCTATCCTTGGACATGGAATGGTATCATCTTATTGGTCAATATTTAGTTAACGTGTTATTTTCCTGTTGGCCATTATTGTACAATATTATTTTCTATTTTATGGTACGTTGTGGTCTGCTTGACTGGTATATAAACAAAGTATGTTTGAAATATAATGATTCATATATCCGAGGCTGAAACTTGTGTTCTGGACTCAACTGGCTGGGTTAGACAGGGAAGCGAGACCAATCAGAACCCTAGGTCGTTCTACGTGTTTGCGCGTCTTTGGTCCGATCAATAATTCGCTATCCCTTAATCAGCATTATTTTTCACAGTTATAACAGTCTCCAACCATTGATTACGATAGTCACGCAGACCCCAACCAAATAGTCTGCGTCTACGAACATGGTTTGGACCGGAAGTTAGTGACTTCAAGGACTGATGCCACGTTTTGGTTTGGCCACCCCTAACTTTCCTCCAACCATCTCCAACACCGGTTAGGATTGCACGTCGTGGTAATCGGTGTTCAGTCATACGTAACACATGGCCGAATCATCTCAGTCGATGAAAATTCACAACCTCATCAACTGATTTACCATCATTCCCTAATACTCTGCGTCTAACCTCACTATTACTTACCCGGTGATCCCAGCAGGTTCCTTTTTTGTTGTAGAGGAGCCTTATTAAGACACTACATCATAGAATCAAGACTATATGCACTATGGATACAATTGAAGATGAAACAAAGACATTATTTAAAACCCTGAAGGAAAATTGATATCCAGAGAAATTTATAAATAAAAACTTATCCAATAAAAGACAGAGTACAGAATGCCCAACGGTAAATAAAAAGCCTCTGTATATACGCTTACAATTCAGAGGCGACGCACCGAGTGAAATGTATCGACTTAAGTTAAGTAGATCAATTCAAAGGACTTTTAATGCAGCTAAACTACAATTAGTATTCTCCACACGACCAATAATCACTACGAGGTTGAAACATAAATTACCTAGACTAGCCACCTCCTTCTGTATCTATCAATTCAACTGCTCCTGTGGAGCAAGTTATATTGGCAGATGTTCTAAGAATTTCTACATTCGGGCTCATGAGCACCTACCCGTGTGGTTAAGCAAAGGTGTTGTCAAAACTGTTAACAGCTCCATCTTAGACCATTTAGTCCAAACAGGACATACAGCAACCATGGAGCAATCTTTTGCAATAGTCTATCGTATCAACAACATTCTACCTAATTTCGTCAGACTGCGAATCCTACAGACGGCTGAAGCAATTGCTATTCGGATCAAAAAGCCAGAGCTTTGTATCCAAAAGAAGTACGTTCAGCCACTCCTTTTACCCTGGCCAACTAGCTAATAATCAGTCTTATAATGTGGTGACGTAATCTGATTAATGTTAATTTTATGTCCCAAACTTATTATTATTATTATTACTGTTATTATTATTGTCTTCACACTTGATAACCCCTTCTTGAGGAATTTATTCAATATCCACCCCTAAATCTACTATATTTGACCCAATTATTTTACATATTACGCAATTTCCGATTTGTAATCACAATATTCTCTCTTTCTCTCTCTCTCCTACCCTATGTTTACCATATTTATTCTGATCATTTATCTCACAATTTCATTTCGCTTATAAACTGATTCAAGTTAACACTTTATGTTAGTCAACCTCAACATCAACGATTTGATTTTATGTGACAAATAATTCTTAATTCACATATTACTCTGCCTTAAATCTAGCCAATTTTATGGATTAATAATTTGGATTTATAATCGTAGAACCTGATGAGAAAATATTGAAAAGAATATCCTTCGTTCATACAGTTGTATTTTAATGTAATGGGAATTTTTCAGCGATCAATAAAATCAATTAAAAATATCAGTATACTTTTATAATTCAGTTCAGAATAATCAGTTTTTGCTTCAGCTCATTTACACTTCTCAATCATCGTTTTATAAAGATTTTGGATATTGTGTTCATTGTTTCCTTCACCAATTAACAATTACTCAGCTTGTTGAGACATAATCTGTTGTATAAACTAAACGGTTTCGTTTGATCGCGGATCTATTACAAGTAAATTTATGGTTAACTAATAGTCATACTTAAAGATAATATTAATTTCTAAGAAAATAGACTCATTGTTACTAAGTAAACGAAAGTGTCAAAAATTAAAATATACGTGTCTAGGATGAAGACTAGGGATGAGAAGTTTAACGCTGAAGTTTTATATTTATTGCGGATATCTTTATGATCATACTTCATCTGACAATCTATCGAGTAACTGTTATAACTATAGTCCCCAAGCTGATAAGAAATCTATGTGTAGGCTATCACATGTATTCAGCTACACGTGGTCATCAATACAATCATAAGAATATTTATGAAATAAATTGTCGAATTATTATGAACTAAAAGAACATAGCCCATCTGCCAAATAGAATCAGTCAAAGGTTTCACTAATTTAAACATATACAGACCTACATGTAGGCAAGGTGGCTATCGATTGTTTATCACCAAGACCAATCAAAAATCAAAACGTAGTGTTTTAGTTTGAATCATCAAAACTGCCTTTACTATCATAAGCATATTCTCAACTAAACCATACACTAGTTGATATCTTCAGTTTAAAAATCAATAATTAAAATATACTGATCAGTACCCTTACTTGATCTAGTCTTTGGTAAAATTAGTGATGGCTTAACCATCCGAAATGCCATTTGTCTAAATACAATATCAAACAACATTATCTTGATTGTGAAACAAAACTTAATTTATATTATTTTGTTCAAATGATAATTATCAACAGGAGAAAATTACCGGCTAAATATCTCCTGCTGATTACTCCCTACTGGTTAACACATGACATAAACAATCTGAGTAGTATGGGGTTAAACAGTTATAAATGCCGATCATTAATTTACAGTAAATTCTGTGATTTTATACGTCAGAATGAATCGAAAAAGACCCTTTTCTAACTGTGAAAAACTATGTAATGAGAGGTGGGGTTTCATGATTTTATAAACAAATTTTCGATTGTTAAAATAGAAAAAGCACGCTGATTGATAAATATATGAAATGACATTAAGTCTCTGAGTGATATTTGTTCACAATACCGTATAGTTAATCCAAGCTGATGGGGCTATGATTTACGGACGGCCTTTAAGGGACAATGAAGTGACTTCGAGACAACTCAACTACTTACTAGGGTTAAATGAAGGTCATAAATTAGTATGAAGAATTAAGATATTACCGTTTAGAGTTTAAAGTTACGGTTGGGAACTAGAGTAAGCGTTCTCACCACAAACTGACATCAGCTACAATGCCAAAATAACGATGAACGAGTGTTGCGCCAAAATCCAAGACTTGCTAACCTTAATTTCATTGGTTATCACACGAGAAATTATCTATGAATACGATTGTACAGCTTAAGAAAGTGATATTGAATGCACATTTTCAGAAAACGATTAGTACCAGCTTTGCAGAAAACACATGACCTGCGATTCAGGTTCTGTTTTAAGAACTATTGAACTATTAAACTATTTTGAGTGCATTTTTGTGTGTACTCAAGTAATAATGGTATGAATGTATTGAAGAATTATTATTAGAAATGCTTGGACAGTTATTACAATTGATACGAAATGATCATATCTTTGAAGAGAACTATAATCTTTATCTCAAAACATCAATTGATGACGAAATTATGTTTATTTTGGATCTTTTCAAATTTTCGAATTACTCATGAAACCAATGAGTTCTAGCAAGTTATATGTAATTAATAACCGCAGTTAAAGTTAGTAGTGAGGACTGAACTAATAATCTAACTATTATTTCATTGGTGGATAATCAGTGCCGTTATGTAATAACAAATTATACTGCGAAGGATTACTTGATAAACAAATCTGACATAAAGTAATGGTATTGATCCACAGCAAATAAATACATTACAAGCAAACTCCTTCCAAGATACAATATTTATAAAGAAGTCGATTGATACCTATTCAGTATGTCATTACTACCGATGAGAAAGGTGGTCAAGGGTTGACCCTGTCACTATGATTCGTATTTTAGTACTTATAAAGCTATGTCATAACATTTATCACTAAAAATACAATTTATATTGAGTAGAATAAAGTTGTATTAATTTTTTTTATTCCGTTTCAATCAGTTATTTTATCAAAATTAGTGTCTCTTAATATTCAGACTTGCTCATTTTAGAGGGGTTAATTCCGATAAAGTTTTCATTGATTTTGAAAATGATAGCACTAAAGAAATGACTTAATTCACAAGACCATTATTTATTTATCGAAAGATTACACTTAATCGTTTACTCACTTTAGTATTTGAGTTTTTTTCTCTTATTAAAAACAAATAAATACTACTTACATGTTTACATCAATTATTCATACAGTGAATGGAAGATAACAATTGTATTCTAAGTTAACAGTTACCGATATTCTTCAATAATTTGTGTAGACAGAAAATTGGAACATAACTGTTTGTTGAAACGGTAATATTATAAATTTATATTTCATTGAATATTTCACGTTACATTTTGTTTTAATTGAATAATGATTTCTTTTCTTTTTTACATTTTAGATGCAACTGTATACGCTCAATTAGTATTCAGATCATTTGATCAAGATCGTAATGGAACTTTAACATTTGAAGTAAGTTAAATTCAATAAAACAATTTGTGAATTAATTATAAACGACTCATAAATAGCTAGTAAATTCATTGTTTAATCCCAAGATTGAAACTATTAATAGTAGCATGGGTTTGTAATATCTCTTTGTTAACTAACATCCAGGATTTCTATCTCTCAGTAGCTGATGATATTTAGGCATTCTGAGTACATTACCTGACGAGTCACAGATCCAACTGTTACCCATAATCTGAACATCCTTAAACTTATTAACATAAGTAGTAAGGAGCTCTGATAGTGTCATTAAAAACGTTATAGCTTCCGTTCATTATTTGATACAATTACATAAGCGGCTATTTCTGACCCTCAAATATTTCTTTACATTACAAAACAATCAATTTTAAAAACTTTAAAAATTCCTATTGTTCAAGTTAGAAAGGCATATAAGTGAACAAATACTGATTTTAGTTAAACCTTCATCATGCTTCTTTCTCAAATTATGTAATATCGGTTTCCAAGAATGAAAATGATTAAGTTATATAAAATAATTCATGAGCCATTGATAACAACTAAATGGATTACATAATTAAACTTCAAAACCCTGGTAGCCATAAAAATATAAATGGGAAAACACGGAAAAGCTATAGATTAATCCAGTCGAAGAAATAGAACTGTTAAGTATAAATTTATTGGAAATTCATTGTCATTAATCCCTCGTAAACTGCTTTATTTGATTTATTATTGGCATAAACTAGAGTAACACCTCACAACAATTTCACTGTAAAGAAGAATGATCACTAAACTGTTACGCTTTAAATATCAGAAGCCAAGGTAGACTAAATGCTCATTTAACTAGTTATGATTTTAGCGCAAATGTATCTTACACAATTATTTACGCCTGTTACCTTCTCTTGGAGTAGCACAGACAGTTCACTAGCATTCCCCATCCAACTTTGTCCTCGACAATCCTTTCCAGTTCTTATTCATCATTTTCATGTTTGCTTCCAATTATCAACGTAACGTCTTCCTTAATCTTCCTCTTTTCCACTTCCCTTCAGGATTCCAAGTTAGCGCTTGCTTAGTAATGTAGTCTGACGATTTTCCAAATGTATATCACATCCATCTACAGCATCTTTCCCCAGTTTCTTCTTAAACAGGAAGCTGGTTTTTCTCTCACACAGTAGGTTGTTGCTGATAGTATCTGGTCAAGGGATATTCAGTATCTTACGTAGACAATTGTTTATAAATACTTGTACTTCTTCGGTGATGGTTGTGGTAGTTCTCCAACTTCCAGCTCCGCACAGTACAACTGTCTTGACGTTCGTACTGAAGATTCTGCTTCTCAAATTGGTCGACAGTTGTTTTGAGTTCTATATGTTCTTCAAATATAGGAATGAGGTCCTTACTTTGCCAATCCTTGCCTTCACGTCGGCATCGAATTGTCTCAGTTTATCGACGGTGCTGATCAGGTACGTGAAAGTGTCCACCTCCTCCACTGTTTCTCCATCAAGTGTGATTGGGTTGGTGTTCTCTGTGTTATATTTCAGGATCTTGCGTTTTCTCTTGTATATGTTGAGGCTTACTGATGCAGAGGCTGCTGCGGCACTGTTTGTATTGACCTACATTTGTTGGTGTGTATGGGATAGAAGAGCTAAGTGATCTACGAAATCCAAATAGTATAGTTGCATCCACCCTGTCCATTGTATTCTGTGCTTCTCGTCAGATGTGGAGGTCTTCATAATCCAGTCAACCACCAAAAGAAAGTGGAAGGGAGAGAGTAGGCAATGTTGTCTGACACCGGTCCTCACTTGGAATGCATCTATCAGCTATCCTTCATGAACAACAAAGCAGTGTAGTCCATCCTATGAATTTCGTACGATGTTGACAACTTTCTCAGGTACACCATAGTGTCGAAGAAGGTTCCATGATGTTCTTTATCCACGCTGTCGAATGCCTTCTCATTATCATGGAAGTTGATGTATAGTAACGTAGTGTCACGATTTGGTCTGTGCACAACCGATCCTTACGGAATCCAACCTTTTGATTTGGAAGCTGGGCGTCTACCGAATCTTCCATTCGGTCCAACAATACTCTGTTGTCTCTGTAGCTCTCACACTAATTGATATTTCCTGTTTTTGGTATCTTGATGAGATATCCTTCTATCCAGTCTGTCTATGGCACTTGGTCTTCCTCCCAATCAGTTCTGAATAGAATGTGGAGCATTTTTGCAGTTAATTCTATGTCTGAATTTAGTGCTTTAGCTGGTATGTTGTCTGATCAAACTTCTGCTTTCCCACTTTTGATTTGTCTGATGGCCAATCTGATTTCTTCGGTCGTTGGTGAGGTGACATCCACAGGAAGATCTGAGTGTACTTCTTCGATGACTGGTTGGTTCAGTGAGTCTTGTCTATCCAAGAGTGCTTCAAATTGTCCTGTTCAGCCGTTCCTCTGTTCCTGAATCTCAGTGATTGACTTGTCTTCCTTATTTTTAACTGGTCACTTTGGTTTATTAAATTTCCCTGCTAATTTCTTCGTTGTGTTATAAAATGCATCATCGATTGAATAATAACATTCATTAAACTTTAATTTTCAAATTATTTCTGATATTTCCTAATTTGTGAGACGAATTGTTCAATTGTGTGTTTTCTCTTCATATTTTGAATGGACTATACATGGATTTGAAACTACACGCATATGTTAACTTGGGATTAGTTATATTAAATGAAAATTGACATTATTTACTCTAAAATTTGAAGAACGTGTCAGTTGGTGACTGCCCTTAATAAATCTATTTTCAAATCACCTTTATAGCACGAAATAAAATGTGTGATTTTCTTATTAGTTATAATAATACCATAACTAAATTTTCATCCAATCGAAATGAATAAGTATTATCATTACAATAATTCTGTACTCTCATTGCAAATAGCAGAATTAGAGTTCTGTATTTTATATAACCTATATTAAAAAGAAAAAAAATTTGTAACTAAGGATTATTTACCAGGAATTTACTTAATCTTTATTATCAATCATACTGATCAGTTTTCAATGTGTACTTGTTTCAGTAGTTGAGGTCATGAGTCATTTGAAGCTAGACCGTCATGGAAGTACTAGACGGCCATTTCATTCTATTGTGAACCGAGGACCTATCAGTCTCGCGCACATGCGCTTAACTATTAGACCACTAAGCCGGTATCCAACGGTGTTAATGTCTAACTTCAACCAATCCATGAAATTGAGCGACACATCTACCATTGTATCTCAGAACAGACCTGTTTGAACTCCATTGATCGCTGCTTCTCACTAGAACTCCAGTATATCCCTCTTGAAGCCAGTCTTGTGGGTCCCTGGTTCGAATCTCGCAGAACGGGATCGTGGATACACACTGCTAGGGAGTCCTACAACTGGAAGAACTTGCCGTTCAGTGCTTCCAGGTTTGTCATAAAGGTCTAGTTTCAGTTAACTCATGATCTAAACTATTCAAATTGCGATAATATCCACAAAACCCCTTCTGATATACTTGTTTGTTTAGCAATATATTCAATGTTTATCGTGTTTAATGCATGGTACACAAAATGACAAATTACGTTGGGCATTTCGCCTGTATGATATTAATGGTGATGGTTATGTGACTAAAGGTGAAATGCTTAAAGTTGTCAATGCAATTTATGATTTATTGGGAAGAAATACAGAACCGCCAATTAATGAGTCGACCACAGCTAATCATGTAGAAAGAGTATTTCAAGTGAGTTATATTTTATGTTTTTTTTATGGCTAAATTTGTAAATGAATTATTTATTGTGTACTGAGTATTTGAAATGATGAAGCAGCTTAAATTTGATCGGTTTTTCTAAAACTGGATGAATCCTCAGGACTGGCGTCTAAACCTTTCAACTTATGCATCTCAATAAAATTAGCCTTAACTGATCATCGATGGATATCTAGCTGTTTTGTAGCGTAATAATGGTAATGACTTTGCAAACACTATACTTCATTTCAAAACAATAGTCAGATAAAGTAAATGTCTGATTTTTAAATTTTATTTGTAGAATATTTAGCGGAATTGTTTAACATTATTTGCGAATATGATTTTCTCTTCAAGATATAGGAAATTAAATTGTATGGTGGATAGATATTCGGCTAGCCACTGAAATAAGTGGTCAAATATTTGTACATACACCCTTCAAAATAACAAATAAAAAATCCAACACAAACGAAAGCTCAGTAAATTCATCTACAATCACTCACATACAAACCTAATCGTTAACTTAGCTCAATAAGTCGGGTAGAGATTATAGTCTTATTTTGCTAACATACAGAAAAATCTGAGTCCACGTAATAAATTAAAGTTTTATAATTTAGCAAACTAATTTTTGACTGTTAAAATGACAGGATAGAATGATGATCATTAGATGATTATCGCTGATCGAGGAATGTGTGTTAACAAGACTGAAGTATTGAATCACGATACGGGATGATTTGAAATTAAGATAAGATCACAACCTAGAAGAATAGGTTTTCCATGCAATAGAATGATAAGCACACGAACAAAATGGTGAGATGGAAAAATAGTCAAAAACTATGGAAAGTTGGAGAAAAATATCATGTAAGTCACTTACTCTCCAGCTAATTAAGGTCTGACTATCAGACCTAATTCTTGCCCATCGTATCAGTCCTATCGATAAGTGAGTGTAAACTTTATGAGGTTCTTCGTGTTGTTGCACTATATATCATTGTCAGTATCGTTATTGACTGAAGAACAAGATAAACCAGTTTAATAAACAGCCATTAGGTAACAATAATTTGTCAACTTTAGCCTTCACGTGACAGGTTTATGTTACGTGGTAACAGCTATTCATAACTAACTAGGAACTAATATAGTTGAAGTCTCCACAACAAAACACATCAAGGTGATGTTAACCGACAAGTAAGAAATTAAGTTCCCAATTGTAAAAAGATTAAACAACGATAAAAAATGTGATATTTACTGATTCTGCTTATATGTTCAAAAAATTCAGTGATGTGCATGGTATGTGTCTTCGTTCTTTTTAAATTGTGTTATGACTTCAGACAACGTGACTTAACGAATTACTAACTTTGAATCAATGCAAACCATGAAGGCAACTAAAGTATCACTGTGCTTTTCGCATAAAACGAAATTAACATAAAATTGAAGGTTCTGCTTCCAAAAAAGACTAATTAAGAATTACATGTCTACTATTGATCATTAAAATTCAAAGTTTTCTATGAAAAAGTATCAAAACTTTTCATTCTAAATCTTTTAGCGGTTACCTACCGGTGAACTAAATTATAAATTGTACACATTTTATATCACCAATCAATGAGATATTTGTACACTATAGAAATAAAAAAATTCAATTTCTTTAGAGAAAATTTTAAAGTTCACTTTTTATATAAGCAAAGATGAATGGTGGCTAGCAGTGGAATCCAGGATGCGCGTTTCGTTATATTTTGGACTCGTCAGCTGAATGTACCTGCATCTTAGAGTTTAGGTTTACTGACGAGTCTCAAATAGCACGAAACGTGCGTCCAGGATTCCAATACTAGGCACCATCCATCTTTACTTATAAAGTTTGTGACTTAAGGCAATATCGAGGCAATCCGCAAAGGATGCACATATTCAAACAATAGACTGATCAATTTCAATCCTTAACAACAATTGGAAAATACAGGCAAACAATACTAAATGAATTTCATTTTTTATAGTTAAGTTAAGTTGCGAATATTTCGGTTTTAAAATCGACTGTTAGTTTGATGAAAGCTTTACTCTTACCAGAATATTCATTGTTCAAAGATTGTTAGCATTGAAATCAAAAATACGCATATAATACAATAAAAGGATTTCATAAAAAGAGTTAATATCAAAGTATTTTGTGAACAAATAATGTCACGTGATTTAACGACATTAATTCAATAATTTGTTTCAACTTTCTAAGAGTAGAATACATGAAGAAACTAAAAATTGGAAGGAAAAAGGAGATACCATGATAGCTAAAATAATGAGTTAAGTATTGAAACCCTAATATCATAGAGATGAATGATTCGTTACAGGATTGAAACATTACCGGTTGTGAAACACAAAAATAATATAGTTTCATGTATCTTAAAATACTGTTTGTTTAAATAGTATATTGCAAAATGCTAAAATAGAAAAAACTTAGATTGAAATAAGAAGTAGTAAATATACTCAGTGGTGGTCTAGCTTCAATTGACTCATGATTTCAACCTGTGGAATTTCTAAAAATCTCCACAAAACCCATTCTGAAAATATACTCAGTATTATATGGTAATGATAAAGAGTTATTCCATAACATTTTGGCAAATATTTCAATTCAAACAAATTTTCGATTACAAATGAAAATAAATATAATACTTAGAAACAAATTTTCATGAGGTAACCAGTTTCTGAAATGATTAATTACTATATTTTCAATTGTACTGTAATTTGTAAACAATTCAGTAGTGGAGAAAAACTTTTTTTCAGGAATATTCTTTGGCAAGATGCGTAAACAATGGTTTCACCGATGTATGCTTGATCATATTTATATTAAACAAACGTGTAACTAAGTTAAGACATGAAAAAAATATAACTATATGGTAAAAAGTTAAATGAACTCCGACACCCTTGCTAAATGTAACGTACTGTTTATCGATAGATAAAGTACAATATTCATTATAGACAAACTGTTGCCTACATATAGAGTTTGAAATGATTATCCAAAAGCATTGATCTTCACTGTTTTATCTAAGTCTGGCATTAAATTCTCACTGTTCAACTGGAAAATCCTTTCATTGTTATAAACTATAGTGTTCAAAAATCAATAGATAGGGTTAAACAGCTGAATAAGTTAAGTGAACTATGTGTAAAAGGAACTCACTGTTTCAATGTGGTTTATTTCGTGATCATTATTACTAAGAACTAAATATTATATGGATAAAACTCCGATACTAGTTCAAGTTTGCTTATGTATGTGATCAGTACACGAAATGATACTGGAAGATAATCTTCAAACATGTTTCAATGAAGTCTGTTGAACAACTTCAGATATTAAACGTTTCACATATAACCATGAATTATACATTAGAGGTCTCTCAGATCATAACGAGTGATCTTATTTTGCCTTAGACAATATTTGACAACTTCTTTCTGTTGACATATGTAAATTGTTTAGGTGGTCCTGATTCATCATGTGTTCTAAAAATTTGAAAAACAATCGGTTATAGGTTATTTAATTTCAAATTACTTGTTGGAAAGAGGTACTTGTATATATATATTGAGGTATTATATTCACCAAATTAGATTCTCTGTAGTTAGTTTACCTATCACTAAAATAATTATTTTACCTCCTTTACTATTCATTTTGTAAAGTTCCTTTACATTTTGTTAACAAAGTATGCATCAAATTGAATCAGTTCATATTTTTTATAAAAGACTAAGTTATTTATGATCAACTATCTTCAGTTATTGTTCTCAAATAGTTGAATTTTTAAAATATAAAACAAGATCACATACAACTGAAAGAAATATCCGTGAAAAAAAAGTAAATAATTTCCTTTATTTAATCTTTTAATAGAGATTAGATTTAAATCAAGATGGTGTAATAAGTTATGAAGAATTTTTACAGGCGTGTACTTATGTAAGTTTATATTAGTCTACGGTTAATTTTCTATTAACTTATTTTCATTAGAAAAATAATTGATAATTAATTGATAATATCAAAGATTTATGAAGGTTTCAATAGTTGAGATCGTGAGTCAATTGAAGTTAGACCACCATGGGAAACCTGGAAGCACTGGACGTCCGTTTCATCCTAGTGTGAGACTTCTCAGCAGTGCGCACCCACGAACCCACCTCCGCGAGGTTCGAACCCAGGACCTATCGGTCTCGCGCACGAGCGCTTAACTATTAGACCACTGAGTCGGCATCCAACGGTGTTAATGTCTAACTTCCGGATTTTCCATGGTGGTCTAGCTTCAAATGACTCATGATTTCAACTTTTGATATCACTAAAATCTCCACAAAACTCCTGATTTATAAAGGTTGTTTACATTTGAAAGGTGAAAAAAATGTAATTAGTTACAAGTAATCACAGCAACAATCCATTGTACTCATACTTGTCTAGTTTCCTTTTTACAATGAACTAGAAAGTTTTAAATTAAAGAGAAGATAATAGGTTTAACAATAATGATCAAGAATTAGAATGTATTTATGAAAATATTATCATTAATTTATTCTAATTGATGTTATGTATTAAAACTTGAAAGTTGAATGATTTTATTTGGTTTACCATTTAGCTAAAAGAATTATTTCGTCTAGAATGAAATAATCCTATTGAATTACACTACTAGACATTAACCAACATAAATAAAAAAGCTAATGAATAAATGATAATATCTGCTAAGGATTCTTATATCCCAATAGTGATTGATCAATTAAAATCTTGAATATGAAATTTCAAACTCTTACAAATATTACTAATATCTGTTATAAAAACATTTACAGTAGTAGTATGATGTGTGCTATTGATGTAGACAGATATAAGTAGTATATATCATCGTGTGCAGACCAAATCGAGAGAATTAATTAAGTGGAGTCCATCACCGTACATCAACTCTCTTTATTATGAGAAAGCACTTGAAAGAGTGGATAAAGAATTTCATGGAACCCTCTTCGACACTATGGTCTACCTGTTGAATTCTTACGATGAACTGCACTACAAAGTTGTTCATGAAGGACGGCTGACAATTGCATCCCAACTGAAGATCGATGCCAGGCATTGTTGCTTACTCTCACCCTCTATCTTGCTTCTGGTGGTTAATTAGTTTATGAAGATCTCCACATCTGACGGGAAGCACGGAATACAATGGACACTTTGGATTCAGCTAGACGACATGTACTTCGCAGATGATCTTTCCCTTCTATCACTACTATGGCAGAAAACAAACCAGCTTCCAGCTGAAGAGGAAATTAGAAGAAGTTGCTGGAGACTTGTAGTATATACGTTCTGTAGGTCATCAGCCCTAACCTGGAATTCTAAAGGCGAAAGGAAACGAGGATGACCAAGGAAAACATTGCGTTGGAACTCGGAGGCAGACATCAAAATCATGAATATAAATTGGAAAGGGGGGCCCAATACAGAGCTGGATAGAGGATCCTGGTGGAGGGTAAATACTGCTCCATGAAAGTAAAAGGTGTAATTTAAGTAATTAAGTACGTGTGGAATTAAAATACACATTCGTTGAGGTTTCGAATGAAGGTTTTGATTGGTTCACTTTATTAGGAGACTGCAACTTCAGAAGACCCCGTGGTTCATTAGTTTCTGTACTTGACCCCAGAAATTTAAAATGAACTCAGTTTTATTTCTTAAATCGAGGCAGTATTTCTACGTTTCATAACGTAAGTATAGTTCAAAACATAATACATACACTTGTAAATAGCTTCTAAGTAACCGGGTAATGTTTCTTTGATGAAAGATAAACATTTTCTGGAAATTACTTCATTGATCAGTGTAATCATGTCTTATAATCTAATTGTTTAGTTCGGCAATATGGACATCTGAGGATTTGTAATGAGTCAGAAATTAATGTATAAACGTTTTGATCAGGGAGGATCATCTTCCATGGTTTTCATATGGACATAATTTAAGGTTTATTCATACACTTTGACTAGTTAGTCATTAATTGAATAACTTAAGGAACCAAACTTTCACATTCAAGGCTTTACAATTTGCTATTTTTTAAGAAATTGATCAGTTAATAATACAGTATTAAATAAAAAATTCTAAATGTTTATTCCTACGGGCAATAAACATCCATTAAAAAGGATTTACTATGAAGCATTTAGGCTGTGCTAAATTTAATAAATTCATTCCCATTAGTCTGGGTGCATGAGCTGATAACCTCCAAATAAAGGCATAAACCAACAACTCATATCTAGTGAACAAATGAACGAAGATAGTAATAGTTACTTATGGTTAGGAGTTAGCTTTTACTAGATTTTCATCACAACACTAGTAGTAGTACTACATACTTCAGTCGATCGTGAAGTGAATCTCAAATAATCTCTCTTATGAGTTGTAAATAAGAATAAAATTTAACTTTCTGAATCAACAACAGAATTCATACACGGTCCATTTTATAGCCCAACTAAAACATTTGAAAAACGGTGTGAAGTTTTACGTGTTGATTGTTGTTTTATTATTATAATACCATAAATAATTTATTTCATTGACTGCTTAAAGAGTTATTGTAATAGTAAGGGTCAAACTACATGATTATGAAACTTTTACTTGTTTTTAATAATTTACTTATTGTTGGGATATTCAGGGAAATACCCCAAAAATTATCCTGTTAAGCCTAATGCTATCCTTGGACATGGAATGGTATCATCTTATTGGTTAATATTTATTTGACGTGTTATTTTCCTGTTGGCCATTATGGTACAAGGTTATCTTCTATTTTATGGTACGTTGTGGAATGCTTGACTGGTATATAAACAAAGTATGTTTGAAATATAATGATTCATATATCCGAGGCTGTGACTTGCGTTCTGGACTCAACCGGTTGGGTTAGACAGGGAAGCGAGACCAATCAGAACCCTAGGTCGTTCTACGTGTTTGTGCGTCTTTGGTCCGATCAAAAATTCTCTACCCTAAATCCGCAGCAAATATTTTTCACGTTATAACACTTATAGCTTTTTGAGTTGTGTTGGTTTTCATAGAGAAATTTTTATTCTGTTCTTATTTTCACAATGATTTTCATCATTAACTTTACTATTCAAAACAGCATGTCGTACTTTATTTTTAACTATGAACTCGTGATGAAGAAAGCTCTTTAATGTTTGTTTTTTATTGTTCTTTATATTTTAGGATCAGACTGTTTGTGATGCCCTTGATAAACTTACAACTATTTTATAATGATTGTGCATTTTTGATTACTTTCAAATTATAAAGAGTTATATAAACACTATATATATATATATATATATATATATATATATATTGGTCACTTGATTAATTTACCTGTCTATAATTATTTACCTTCCTTTTTATTGAAGGTGACTGAAGGTTATTTACTAATTGTATTTTCCAAAAACACTTCATATTGATCATCTTTACTTATTGGTGAAATAATAAGGATGTGAGATTAATAAATTTTCTTTAAGTTCTGTCTTATATACTTTGATATATATGATAGGAGGTGAATTCTGAATACATGATTGGTGGTAGCTTGTTATAAACTTGAATAACTTATAAATGAATTTTGTTTCTAAATATTATTTAGCTCAGTATTAACTTAAATAGTTGAAGAGAATTGACATAGTAATGTGTACTTAGTTACTATAAATATTTCCATCCATATAACAGAGGATAATCATAACTACAAATCACATGAAACGTCAGCAATAAAAAATATGTTTGAGCTACCATTTGACTTGAGTGAGAACCGATGATAAATAGTTAATTTTCCAATAGTAAAAGATCTTTATGACGCTTCAGGCAGATCTCCAAATTTTAAAGTAACTCTTGAAAGTTCGTAATATTTACCTCAGACTTTTTGTCAGTCAAACGATCTATTGACATTCATTTATTGCTACAATTATTTAGATACTTGGTGTATTTTATCTATAGTGAATCAGATCAAGTCTTATTTAAGTATCATAAAGTTGTGCTTAATAATCAGATAAACCAGAAGCGATTGTTAGTAATAAACCACGTTGAAAATAACAACTTGGTTAAGGTTGGCACAAACAGTGTTCCAGTTACTGAACAATATATATTCTTAATGCAACTGAAAACACAGTCTTGTACTCCGAAAGCTGATATTTGTCATTTAGTAATATGTAAACCTACCGTTTATCTAACATATTTTTTTACTGCCGTCCAAGTCCAAACCATGAGATCAACCTTTTCCATTTCATCCACCAAAAGACTTCAGAAATAGTTTTTAGGAAATGAAAATTTTTATATACCGTTTTCAGTTGAAAGTATCACAGATGTAACAATAATTTATCCTTTTTATTAGTCTTACTACAATATTATTCAATATTAGACTCTATCTAATAATCCGACTTCACTTCCTTTCTGGTTCGTTTTGAGAATAAGCTATACACTTGTTAGACTCAATCTTTGCTAATTAATGTCTGAAAACTTATTTTTCATAAGAATAACAGCTTCAACTAAAACTGATATCTCAATAAGAATTCATAGTCAGCACGAAGTTAGAACTCAGACGTATTTATTTGCTCATTAATGATGATCAAAGAACAAATAAACAATCGTATGGCAATCAGTTAGGAAGTTCAGTTTTGTATGAGGGCAAAAATGATGTGATGTTTCTCGGTAGCTAAGAATCCATTTCATTTAAATTCGTTTGGGTCAACCTTTTGTAAGTGATTGTATTTTACGTATGAAAGTGACTGGTGTATATCTTTAAAAAATCAAAAAGAAAATTTTGGATTTCGACAAAGAAGTATGGAAAATTAAACACAATCTGATGTCCGGGAAGCCGAATATATTGCATAACATTCTTATGGTTCGGAGACAAGCGATCAAGGTTTCTTTAATGAGATATCCAGTTGAGATTAAATCGTTTAAATGTCATACTATAGGAAACAACAGAGTTTGTATTTGAAATTGTAGTGCTCAATAACATTTCTATCATGAATATCATAGCAGATCTCCCTAATCTTTAACATCAGGAAACTAAGTAGCAAGCTACCCGAATCCACTCGCTTTTTAAAATTTAATGTCCTGTTTAGAAAATGCGACCTCCAGTTAAAAAGCTACATACTTTTCAATCCCGGAGACTTTTACTTGTGTTTATACGACATAATACTCTTCTAATAAAAAAGGGGTAGCGATATATAGGTAAACATCTGAATGTTAGATCACATACTCACATCTAGGTGAATTGGTGGAGTAAAGTGACTGTTTCATTATTAATAACATGAAAAAACGTATTGAAAACAATTATTATTATAACCAACTGTACCAGTGACTGTTTAATGTGCTCTTTGTTTAACTGTGCTAAAAACATCCATTATACTTACACTTTGATTGTGACCTCGCGCGAATTCGGTTACGTTCTGTAACCAAGCTTGTATCCTGGTACGATCTCGGTATCCTTTCGATACCACGAGATCACCAGCAAATATATCTCGACTTGGTCCATTAACTGCCTTCTGTTAATTGGCTTCCCGGGGATTTTATGGATTTATTTGGCACGTGTTTCTCTGTAGCGGTGTTCATAGTCAACCGCGAATCGACATCACGCTACAGACTAGGGAGTCAAGAGAACGTAAAACCAAATCGAACCAGGGTGCTTGGAGTAGTATCCAAATCTTCCAATGACCGGGATTTAATTTTACAAAGTGGACAATCAAGCGGCCGGCTTGAATATCTGGGCAACCTGTTTCTGCCATCTGATTATTTCAACAAGTTATCTGTTTTCTTTCGTTTGTTTTAACTTATAATTATGTCCATTAATCGCATAACCTATTCATGCACTTTTGTGAAAAACCTACGACCTTTCGCTGTACAGGTTACAAAAAGTACTATAAAAGACATCGTGGTGGTTGGCAATATGAGTTAAAGAGAATGTATATTAATCGTATGTCGATTCCCGAGCTGCTAAATTCTAACTGTCGATCACTAATCAACAAAGTGGACTATCTACAATTCCTACTAAGTCAAAATATGTATCGTAATTGTGGTATCATCACAATTCAAGAATCTTGGTTAAATGATTTACAGGATGACTGCCTAGTAACACTACGTGATTTCAAAATTTATCGTCAGGATCGATCAAACAATAAAAAGAGGTGTGGTGGCGGTGTAGCTACGTTTGTAAACATAAACTGGTGTCGATCTTCGTTTGTGTGTTTTAAGTTTTCAAATGACTTTATCGACTGTCTAACTCTAAGATGTCGTCCAAAACATCTGAATAAATACAAATATGTTTATGTTACCAATATCTACGTGACTCCAGATTGCACATCATCTGCACTATCTGTTTTCGCTGATGAATTCACTGAGTTCGCTGTTACTGCCTTCAGTGATTCACTTTCAGTTGTGTGTGGTGGTTTCAATTCATGTGACTGTAGCTTCCTTAGGTCACTAGGTCACCAAAACGTGGTAGATTTTCCTACTCTTTTGAATGCTCATTTAGACTTCGTTTTCATTAATGATGTTGGTATATATGCGACTCATAAACGTGCTCCATTGTCTAGCTCAGAACACTGTATAATCCGTGTTCTACCTAAAGTATATGGAAAGCATGGGAAGAGTACACTCCTACGTCAAACCGGAAAAGTCAAATATAGGAATTACACAGAAGAAAATATCCGAAATCCGAAAAACATGTTTCATACGACTAACTGGCAATTATTTACAGATGACTCACTGGAAAATACTACTGATGTTATCACTTGTTACCTTAAATTCTGTTCTGCTACTTGTTGTCCCACTGAAACCATTTTTGTAAGTTTTGATCGACTTACATCTTCACAACTAAAACGACTACGAAGGATGAAAGAAAGAATGTACAAGGAGAAGAACTCTAATGAAGTTCGTAAACTAAATGGTCTGATAAACCTAGAGATTAGACGTCTCAACTGTATGTTTACTCAAAAGCTCTTATCTTGCAAAAACTCTCCAAGTATGTGGAAATTCTTTAAAGAACTTACAGATGACAGAAAGTTTAGAAGCGATAACCAGCTGAATGTTTGTGACTTAAATAAGTCTTTTGTACGTCAGTCATCTGATGTGATGCTCCCTCTATCCACGGGTTTAAAAACTAGCTGTGTTCCTACTTCCACTGAAACTGATGTACGAGGATGTCTCCAGTCGCTTAATTCATCTCGATGTTTGGGACCTGATGGTATCCCAAACATCCTTTTTAAAAAGTATGCTGACGTCCTATGTTATCCGTTCACAGCTATCATTAACAGATCCTTCTCATCTAATCTCATACCGAAAATGTGGAGAAAGATGAAGATAATTCCTGTACCCAAGAAAGCATTTGGTGATAAGAATGTAAAATTTAGACCTATTTCAATAACTTCACCCTTCCTCAAAACAGTGGAAAAATTATTAATACTTCCACTCTAGCCTGCGATAAAACAGCATATTGATCCATATCAGTTTGCTTACAGACGCAAAAGAAGCACTTTGGATGTTGTTGCTGTTCTGCATGACAACATAGTGTTCAACTTAGAAAAGGGTAAGAAGTATGTTCGATGTACTTTTCTGGACTATACTTCAGCTTTTGACTCTATACCAAGACAAAGTTTACTTAACAAGTTAATCAGCGTCAACACTGACAGCTGGATAACCAACTGGCTATGTTCCTACCTCTCTGGAAGGGAACAGTACACTGAGTTTGGAGGAAAGTGTTCAGAGTCTCTACTGTCTCATGAAGGTGTACCACAAGGAGCTGTTCTTTCACCTCTTCTATTCTCTTTTTTTCTGCATGACCTGCCATCTCCCACAGAAAACACTTTTGTGAAGTATGCGGATGACCTCACTGTATGTATGCCTATATCTTCCTCTTTACATCCCATAGAAATGAATGAGTTTTTGTCTCGTATTGATTGTTGGTCTGTTGGTAATGGTCTCATACTTAATCCATCTAAATGTCAAGCTGTTAACTTTAGTATGAGACATGAACGGAATATAAACACTATTTTGAGATCCCATAGTGCTTGTACCATCGGAGACTCTTTGATAAACGCGGTGTCGAAGGTCAATTATCTTGGTGTCACCTTTTCCTCTGATCTGTCTTGGTCTTCCCACGTTTTATCGTTATCAAAGAAGGTTTTCCGTCTGACCTACTACATAAAGAGATTGCATGCTCTTGGAATTACTCGTCATTTTCTCTTACAATTTGTCAATTCTTGCATATTACCTACTATTATTTACTGTTCTTCATTATTCTTTCCCGGGTTTTTGAGAAAAGACTTTGCTGTATTGCGAAGAGTGCTGAAGGCAGTTAGCAAGATGTGTGGTGAATCTTTCGAGGTCATAATTAATATGGTTGTGGATAGACATTTAGAATCATGCAAACTCCTGGCAGGTGTCATTTTATCAGATACTAGCCATCCCCTTCACTATTATCTTTCTCCTTGTATATTTTCTGGTAGAACGAGACCTAATTACATTAAAATCC